TCACTTTTACAGGTAGTTACATATTATACACCTCACTTTTACACGTAGTTACATAATATACCCATCACCTTTACAGGTAGTTACATAATATACACATCTCCTTTACAGGTAGTTACATAATAAACACCTCACTTTTACAGGTAGTTACATAATATACACATCACCTTTGCAGGTAGTTACATAATATACACATCTCCTTTACAGGTAGTTACATAATAAACACCTCACTTTTACAGGTAGTTACATAATATACACCTCACTTTTACAGGTAGTTACATAATATACACATCACCTTTATAGGTAGTTACATAATATACACATCTCCTTTACAGGTAGTTACATAATAAACACCTCACTTTTACAGGTAGTTACATAATATACACCTCACATTTACATGTAGTTACATAATATATACATCACCTTTACAGGTAATTACTTAATATACACATTACCTTTACAGGAAGTTACATAATATACACATCACCTTTACAGGTAGTTACATAATATACACATCTCCTTTACAGGTAGTTACATAATATACACCTCACTTTTACAGGTAGTTACATAATATACATCTCACTTTTACAGGTAGTTACATAATATACACATCACCTTTACACGTAGTTACATATTATACACCTCACTTTTACACGTAGTTATATAGTATACACATCTCCTTTACAGGTAGTTACATAATATACACATTACCTTTACAGGAAGTTACATAATATACACCTCACTTTTACAGGTAGTTACATAATATACACATCATCTTTACAGGTAGTTACATAATATACACATTACCTTTACAGGAAGTTACATAATATACACATCACTTTTACAGGTAGTTACATAATATACACCTCACTTTTACAGATAGTTACATAATAAACACATCACTTTTACATGTAGTTACATATTATACACCTCACTTTTACAGGAAGTTACATAATATACACATCACCTTTACAGGTAATTACATATTTTACACCTCACTTTTACAGGTAGTTACATAATATACACATTACCTTTACATGTAGTTACATTATATACACCTCACTTTTACAGGTAGTTACATAATATACACCTCACCTTTACATGTAGTTACATATTATACACCTCACTTTTACAGGAAGTTACATAATATACACATCACCTTTACAGGTAATTACATATTTTACACATTACCTTTACAGGAAGTTACATAATATACACATCAATAACAGTTATTTAAGTAGGAGGACACCCGCACTCTTGTGTATCAATGGCCCCGATCGGGTCATTTTTTGCACAGGGACCTGATAATTTGTTACAGCTTTATTTGGACCTTAACTACGGTGTTCAGGGTAATTTTACATTTTTAGGAGTTTAGATCGATTTTCGTTAAAATTGCAACCCTCAATTATCATATATACGAGGATACAGAGATCATGTCCGCGGAAGGAGAATACATTTTACGCGCATATATAGTAGGTTTTTAAAAGAAATTTTTTCCATCTTTCCAACGGTATTAAGCATTTCCCCGTTGATCAACTAGAAATGTTGTTTTTGATGCAAGAAAGTTTGGTGGTGTCTATGATCATGGGGGTGTCATTTTTACCATAAATCCATTTACACCTCTAAAACATGTATAAATTACTCTGAACACCTTAGTTTAGGTCAACAAAATATCAGGTCCCGATGATTTTATGTATGTAGGACTTACACAATTATATTAACGAATCAGATTGTTTTAAAAAGATACATAAATTCATACAACCTTATTTTAGTGAACCTTTGTGGCTATCGCAAGTAAGAAAAATATCAAACATATTTCAATGATATTTTTCTCATCCGTGCTAATAAGGTAAAGCGGCATAACTCTACCTCGCTTATCCAAATTTTCTGTGTATTTAACGGTAGGCTTATTTTCTCTTTTGATTTTGGTTTTCAGAAAGTGAAATTTTACATGCCCATGGAATAATCTAGGCTTTAGAGGAATCTACCCTTTTTCAGATTGGGGGAAATCAAAACTTTGAAATAAGACTCTAGCGTCATGAAGGTAAAAGATAAACGTTTTGTCCGACATACACGTGTGCAGTATATTTCAATTGATAAACAATTATAAGCTTATTTTTTTTGTTAAAAGTATATGAAGAAAATGTATATATGCAGTATTATGTATTTTAACTGTTGATCTTTAAAGAAAACATATAGGGGAAATATTTTTTAAGAAAAAGTTAAACCACTATTTTCTTGTTGAAATGGGTGAATTTTGAAGCACATAGGGGGGNAAGTCTAGATTGACCACATCATGCCTAATTGTGTTTTATTTCTAAACTATTGAAAATGAATGCTGTTATGCTTGTTACAAGACTGGTAATATTGTTGAAATTTTACCGCGTATAAGTATAACAAGAAGTACATGTATATGTTTAAACCCACTAACAGAGCATGTGTATTTGGCTCCTATCACATATCAAGTGACTCGCTCTGTCACATGGCTCCTATCACATATCAAGTGACTCGCTCTGTCACATGGCTCCTATCATATATCACGTGACTCGCTCTGTCACATGGCTCCTATCACATATCAAGTGACTCGCTCTGTCACATGGCTCCTATCACATATCAAGTGACTCGCTCTGTCACATGGCTCCTATCACATATCACGTGACTCGCTCTGTCACAACGGGTAATACAAACAAAAACGGTACACGTGCTAAAAAGAATATCAAACATATATTCCCCCATACTAACTGTTATTAATATATTTGCAAAAAAAAACCAGCTTAATATTATCCCGAATTAGACATTATTCGCTTCCTGTGGTACTTATTGTGAACAGAGACGTAAATGCACTTAATGTGGTTTTATACGTCTCTGTTAATAATAAGCTAGTCGTCTCGAAGGAGCCTATTTACCACAGCACGCTATCTTGTTGCATAGTCGCGTTTAAAATACGTCTCTCAAAAGTGTAAGGTTGCCGAAATGTAGACATGCAGATTCCTGTGTATGACCCTACATCGGGTGTACTCTGACTCTATATACATTTTTGTTTAATTAAGATAGATTTGTGGGTTCTAAAAAAAAACTCTACTTATGTTAGTCACACTAGAAAAAAATGCATTACGTCCCAATTTATGCAAATTACCCCCATAAATTCATCCAACATGACGCATTTAATGTCACGAGACATTAACTTTTCATTGTACTCATCATAGTGTAGGGGTCCACTACACATCACTGTACTCATATATGATAAAACATTAAATTAAGACCCCAAAAATAGTAAAACATATTTTGTAAAGAGTTATCTCATTATTTAAACAATAACTGGTTGTCTGGATGTAATTATTGTTGATATAATTACAAGTGGCCTCTGGCAAATCCCATAAAACCCGCTTTCTAAAAACTAATCAAGCTTTGGACAACCGGACTAAGATGCTTCCTTTCAGAGAAACCGATCGGGTTATTCCGCTTAACCTGACGGAAATATCCGAGTGTTTTTCGGTCACTAAAGAATGAGGTAAACTAAAAGAAAGCGTATCGTGCTATGATTCCAGCAAATATCTACAAATCAGTTGATCTATTACCGTAGATTTGGTATATTGATTTGATAAATATGTATATTACGGCGTTTTTACTCCGTGTACAAATTCGAAGTATAACCAGAGTAATTTTGTGACCTGTCGGAAGTACATGTATGACTAAGGTAACTTGGAAGTAGAAAATCAGCGGGAACAGGCTGTAGGTGGATATTTTGTAAACAACAAATTCAATCCACAATCATCTTTTGTCATGGCAGATTCAAAGGTTCGTAATTAAAGACAATATGAAAATCATAAACACTTGAAAATGAAAATGTCTTTTTAATTTCCTGACATGCTGAGATAGGATCGTTATTTACATTGTTTTTTTCGCATGTCGTGCTTTGGGACAAATCGGACATTTAAATATAACATTTATACAGATCGTCCCACATATGATTGAATGAAGTTAACAAATTCAGACAAAAACGACCGTAACAACCGTAGTCTGAAAACTTAACGACTCGGGCAATACTGAGTTATAGAACTAAATGTAGAGGATTTGACACGAATTGACCAACATAAAAAGGCAAAAGGTCCTTCCCCGGCCGCATCTCGGTTCCCACAATCGCTCATATGTTGTTATTATGAATCTGAGATTCTAATATACTGTGGTGGCGGGGATTTAGAATCTGGGTTGTGGTTTTCGAGGGCGAACACATTTGAAAAGGGGGGGGGGGGTTAGTTTTAGTTGTGCATAGGTTTACACTCGTGTAAATGTTGTAAATGTTTTCCGGTCAGTGTGTACGCGGAGTGAAATATATATTGATACACTAACAATATCGTTTGTGGCAGGTTTTAGTTGTGCATTGGATTAAGCTCCCCTCGAGCTAGAGGGAATTTCCCTTTAGCTCAGTGGTAGAGCGTCTTGACTAGGAACCTGGAGATCGAAAGTTTGATCCCCGGTGGAAGCACACTATTCTCTTTCCTGTTACAAATGGTGTCCGTGCATGTGGCCCTCCGGGTCCCTGTGGTGACGGGGATTTAGAACCTTGGTTGTGGTGTTCGAGTGCGAACACATTTTAAAAGGGGGGAGTAGTGTGGCAGGTTTTAGTTGTGCATAGGATTAAGCTCGCTTCTAGCTAATGGGAATTTCCCTTCAGCTCAGTGGTAGAGCGTCCGACTAGGATCCTGGAGATAAGGGTTCGTTCCTCGGTGGAAGCACACTATTCTCTTTCCTGTTACACGTTCCAGTAAATGCTTTCTGGTCAGTGTGTACCGCGGGGTGAAATACACTCACAAGATCATTCAAGTAAATGCTTTCCGGTTGGTGTACCGAAGGGTGAATGGTTTCCGGTAGGTGTACAGCGGGGTGGTTTGTTTTCAGAATGCCATTCATTTGATTCTTAATTGCAAGATTTGCAGTCAGTGGCCATGGGCCAGGGATGATTTTTTTTTTTGGTTACTTGACATTTCTGTCAGTATTAATTTATTTTGAGTTATGAACGATTTTGATGCTTAAAAAGCCAACAGAAGACCTGCATGATCATCTGTCATAAAACTAACGGCAAGTTCTTCTTTCCATTAAAGTGTTTCATTCTTGGTTGAATTTTATCGCACTGTTTGCGCATATCGAGGTAAAAGGCATCAGCCCATATAAATTGAGTAATGTGAAGTAAGCATGTTTTATTGAATTCATCAGGAGGAGCATGATGAAGTGGAAAATCCAGAAATTCACTTTGAACCACTGGTACAGCTGGATAAAGTAGATATCAAGTCTATGGAAGAGGATGAAGATGAAGTATTTAAAATGTAAGGTGAAAGGTATCCTTGCACAGGTTTATACTTATTTATAAGGGTGTTTATTTTGAATTGAGTGTGGTATGTCGATATGTTACAATGAGAATATCATTAAATAATTTAATTTTGGCTATTCCCCCAAAAAATTATCCTGGTTATTCCTTAAAAAGATAAAGTTTGTTCAAATGTGAATTTGTGTCAAACAGCAAAACTAATATGACATCATACATTTTGTTAAGTGCGTTTAATGTCCGATTTACAGATACGGTTGTTTATTCATGACATCAGTGACATTAACTATTTTTCATGCTCATCATAAGGTAAGATTTTTGGAATTCCTTTGTGATCAAGTAAACTTGAAACTTCAGGATTGAAAAAAACCTTAATATTCAATATCAAATTTAGAACTCTCAGAAATATCTCTGAAGAAACGAATGTTTGAATACTATTGTAAAATTATTGTGTCTTTCAGTCGAGCCAAACTGTTCCGGTTTGATAATACAGTGGAACCTGCAGAGTGGAAAGAACGAGGAACGGGAGATGTCAAGTTACTCAAACATAAGCAAACTGGTCTTATACGAATATTAATGAGGCGAGACAAAACTTTGAAAATCTGTGCCAATCATTATTGTAAGTCTAACATTGATTCTTTGTGATCAGACCACAATAATTATAAAATGCCCATCATGAGAGATTTTAAGATGCATCTTTAAAGTATTGATTATATTTTTTTTCTGTAATACAACAAATCATTATGTACACACCGGCCAAACTAGTTCTATTTTTAGAACAGGGTTCGAATTTAACCAGATTTTATACTTGCATTTTTTCTTACTTGCTAAATGAGAAAACAACTTGCAATTTGCATTTTTCCGACTTTATTAGACATGTTAACTTAGAATTTAATTCTAAAACAACACAGTATTAACTGACATTTTAAATTATGGTCGTTGGGATGTATACATGATGCAAACCTTGCTGTGAAAGGATGCTGGCCTGCTCAGGCTATTCTAAGATATAGCATAGAAACTGCTACTCCAACAATGTTAGAGGTTTTACACGACGAAAAACTTTTGACAGGCGCCGCGTAACCTCTAACTGCCCATAGCTGATTTTCCCGATGCTGACTTTTTCACATCACATTTTCAAAGTTCGGATTAAGAAAAGAGTATATCGTGTTTACATACATTTAAATGATCAAAAGGGTCCAATAAATATTCCTTTCCATAAATCCATGATTATATGAGAAAAATTTCATGTCAAAGACATAAATAATGAGTTTTTTCTCATTCGAAGCGAAGCAGACAGCATTTGCCATGATTTTTCCGGTTAATACAAAAATGGATTACATGTAATGTTTCACAAGCGGAATACAAACAAACTCTGTATCATTTCGTTCCGTTTGAAACCCCCCCCTGATATTTTGTATTAATCCAGAAGCCATGTTTTAAATGTAGGTCAAATATGTGCTACAACGACATGGACATGTATTTTGAGTGTTCTATTCCGTAATATACTATATATTTGTGTCTGTGACATATATATGAGTTCTATATTATATAAACCGTGAGTAGACATTGTTGTCATGAACTGTTAACCACGTATGTGAGTTTTTCAAGACGATTTTGTTCCGCCCGGATTTCGGGCGGAAACTGCATCAAAGAATTAGTGCTTCGGAAATGAGAGGATTGAAAAAAGGCCGACTAGCGGCCTCTCATGTTATGGGAGTAAGAAACTGCATCTTAGTTTCTTGCTCCATATGGTAGAGTATTTGGTCTTTTCTGTCTTTGTCCCGACAACCACCATCTTGTCACAGCAGGTTTTGGGTCATACTCTCTAAGGGCAACATTAGCAACTTTGATTCGCATCAAAAATTTTGCGCTATAAATAGTAACTAAAAATAGATTACCGAAAAACATCATGCATGCGGTAAACGTCATCATTATTTGTGCAGGTACTTCCTAACGGACATGCGCACGGGACATGTATTGATTGTAAACTTCCGTTAATGACAAAAGCTGAATCATTCGTTCGGCGAATGACAAGAATGCGCTTAAATGACCGCGAGTTGTCAAAGAAAGAATTTGTAAAGACCGACCATTAGAAATGAGGATTATTCAGCCCAAAATGTTCACTCGCAAAAAAATGCTGGTGTCTGAAATCTACTCGCAGTTTGCAATTTGCACCCCCTTTCGCGAGTATGCGAGCTTAAATTCGAACCCTGTAGAAATATGAACATTCCCTTGATCATTGTATTCTATTGAAATTATTTGTAAGGGAGGCTATTTGTTTTTCAATGTCTCTGCTAGGTGCTCTACCAAATGAGCTAATGAGAAATTCTCTCTAGCCAAGTCAGTAGAAGGTGGCTTAAATTTTACCAGGATGACGTATTTCTGCTGATGTACATATGATGAAGTTTATGTGACGGGCGGACTGAATTTTCTGTTGAGTGTCACATTAAATTATCTGATGTATGCCTGAACTAGGGAATGTAGTTAATGATTTTTGTTCACATTTGATCCACATGGGACTGGTCTTATCAGTTGGAAAAATAGTGACATTTTCAAGAAATTTGACACCATATCCGTAGCAATGTTTGTTTTGACATTCCATATAAAACTATTTAGACGTGATGAAAAAAAATGCATTTTAATAATTATTAATGTTAAAAAAAAATCATAGCTTAGCCTTTTATTTCAGTTTTAAATTGAATATGATAGATTTAACAATGTTGTAGTTCTCATTCAGAAATATTGACAATTTCTGTTTTCTGGTTTTTAACCATGATGCAGATTTGAAATTATGTGACCGAATGAACTGTTGGATCAAATAAGGTGCTGTTGCATTTAACATTGGATTCATGACAAGGTTGTAATCATTTCTGAAAACATTCGCGGCTGGTTTCCTTACTTCTGATGTATTACTTCATTCTGAAGGATTATGTGATGAAAATAATGTGACGGGCGGACTGAATAACCAATGCTGAGTGTCACTTTATTTTTTCTGATAACTATAACCTTCGGATAGCAGATCTTTGTAAGAAAGCGTAAAGGTAATATTTTCAGGCAATTTTCAGCTGAATATTTTTCTGATACAGAAAACTACATTTCCATTTTAAAATTTAGAAACTGCTTTTCCATTATGATGTTTCAGGAAATTAAAAGAAATCAACTAAAACAGTGTTCAACACGTTAACCCCTGAAATTACATCATGAACTATTCCAACCTATGAATTGGAGTTCAAATGTGTCTGCAGGGGTGAATGAGTTAAGACTGAGGTTTTGGGCAGATTTTCATGAATAAAATTGCAAATAATTATAAGAAAGAGTTAAAAATTGTATGCAGGAATTTATGTGATGAAATTAATGTGACGACGGACTGAAAAACCAATGCTGAGTGTCACTTTATGTTTTATCTGATAATTATATAACTATAGCCTTCCGATATAGCAGATCTTTTTAAGAAAACGTATTTGATGAATGAAATGTTAAATTAATACTTTCAGGCAATTTTCAGCTGAATATTATTTTGATACAGGAAACTATATTTCAATATTAAGATTTAGAAATTACTTTTCCATTATAATGGTTTAGGAAATTAAAAAGAATTCAATTGGAACAGTGTTTTAGACTGGGGGTTTGGGCTGGTTTTTATGAACGAACTTGCAAATAATTTAAAGAAAGAGTTTCAAATCATTCAAAGTAATTTATATGATGAAAATAATGTGACGGGCGGACTGAAAAACCAATGCTGAGTGTCACTATATTTTTTCTGATAAACATGTAACTAGAGCCTTCAGATAAAGCAGATCTTTGTAAGAAAGCGTATTTGATGAATGAAATGTAAAAGTAATAATTTTCAGCAGAATATTTTTTCGATACAGGAAGCTACATTTCCATATTAAAATGTAGAAACTGCTTTTCCATTAGAATGGTAGATCTAGGAAATTAAAAAGAATTCAACTGGAACAGTGTTTTAGACTGGGGATGGGTCTGGTTTTCATTTAGGAAATTAAAAAGAATTCAACTGGAACAGGGTCTTAGACTGGGGATGGGTCTGGTTTTCATTTAGGAAATTAAAAAGAATTCAACTGGAACAGGGTTTTGGGCTGGTTTTCATGAACGAACTTGCAAATTGTTTAAAGACAGTGGCTCAAATAGTTCAAAGGAATGTATGTGATGAAAATAATGTGACGGGCGGACTGAAAAACCAATGCTGAGTGTCACTTCATTTTTTCTGATAAACATATTTAACTAGAGCCTTAGCAGATCTTTGTAAGAAAGCGTGTTTGGAACAGTGTTTTAGACTGGGGTTTGGGTCTGGTTTTCATAAATGGACCTGCAATTTTTTTAAAGACAGTGTTTAAAATAGTTCAAAGGAATTTATGTGATGAAAATAATGTGACGGGCGGACTGAAAAACCAATGCTGAGTGTCACTATATTAAGTCTGATAACTGTAGCCTTTGGATCACAGATCTTTTCAAAGGAGCTCGCCTGTATGTAGTTGATTGATCAATTCATTTATTTAAAGTGAATAATTTCTGGCAATGTTGATTTATATCTGGAAAATAAATCTATATTTCTTTTAATGTTAAAAGATCAATCCCCGTTAATGGTAAAGAAAAAACGAAAAATGTAAATGAAAGCTGTTTAAGATTTCGGTGCAGGGCTGGTTTTATAATGAATTTTTAGTAATAAATGTAATCGGCAGTTTAGTTTAAAAAGAGTTAACAGAATGTGTATCATGAAGTTTCTGAGAATGGCAGCCTGATGAAACCATGCTTATTGTTAACTTACTCCTTCCACTAACTTGATATAGAAAATTATTACTCTCTATATGATGAAAACTTGGAATTACCGTTTGATTGCAATGATACAAACTTTTGCGGCAAACTATTCTGAACAAGAGTTGATAATTTTCAAAACTGTAATTTAAGATAATCATATTAAATGCCGTAGTCCAAAGGCGATTGAGCTGTGTTGATGAACACAGCACCTTCTTGTGATTAACAGATTCTGAAAGTGTCCATTTAGATTTAAATTGCTGTTTAGAATTAAGATATGGAAGATAGATACTGCTACGCTTGATGAAGAAAAAATTTAACTTGCTCTTTCCACTGACAGAATACAGAAAATTATTACTCTTTATGATGAAAACTTGGAATTACCGTTTGATTGTGATGATACAAACTTTTGCGGCAAACTATTCTGAACAAGAGTTGATAATTTTCAAAAAACTGTAATTTAAGATAATCATATTGAATGCCGTAGTCCAAAGGAGATTGAGCCATATTGAATGACAGCACCTTCTTGTGATTAACAGATTATAAAAGTGTCAATTTGGATTCAAATTGCTGTTAAGAATTTAGATATAGAAGCTTAAGGTAGATACTGTTACGCTTGAGGTAGAAAAAATTTAACTTGCTCTTTTCACTGACAGAATACAGAAAATAATTACTCTCTATGATGAAAACTTGGAATTACCGTTTGATTGTGATGATACAAACTTTTGCGGCAAACTATTCTGAACAAGAGTTGATAATTTTCAAAACTGTAGTTTAAGATAATCATATTAAATGCCGTAGTCCAAAGGTGATTGAGCTGTGTTGATGAACACAGCACCTTCTTGTGATTAACAGATTCTGAAAGTGTCCATTTAGATTTAAATTTCTGTTTAGAATTAAGATATGGAAGGTAGATACTGTTGAGGTTGATGTAGAAAAAAAACCACTTTCTCTTTCCACTAACAGAATACAGAAAATTATTACTCTTTATGATGAAAACTTGGAATTACCGTTTGATTGCGATGATACAAACTTTTGCGGCAAACTATTCTGAACAAGAGTTGATAATTTTCAAAAAACTGTAATTTAAGATAATCATTATGCATTAGCTATATAGTCCAAAGGAGATTGAGCCATATTGATGGACAGCACCTTCTTGTGATTAACAGATTCTGAAAGTGTCAATTTAGATTCAAATTGCTGTTTAGAATTAAGATATGGAAGGTAGATACTGTTCTGGTTGATGTAGAAAAAAAAACACTTTCCCTTTCCACCAACAGAATACAGAAAATTATTACTCTTTATGATGAAAACTTGGAATTACCGTTTGATCGCGATGATACAAACTTTTGCGGCAAACTATTCTGAATAAGAGTTGATAATTTTCAAAAAACTGTAATTTAAGATAATCATTATGCATTAGCTATATAGTCCAAAGGAGATTGAGCCATATTGATGGACAGCACCTTCTTGTGATTAACAGATTCTGAAAGTGTCAATTTAGATTCAAATTGCTGTTTAGAATTAAGATATGGAAGGTAGATACTGTTGAGGTTGATGTAGAAAAAAAAACACTTTCTCTTTCCACCAACAGAATACAGAAAATTATTACTCATTATGATGAAAACTTGGAATTACCGTTTGATTGCGATGATACAAACTTTTGCGGCAAACTATTCTGAATAAGAGTTGATAATTTTCAAAAAACTGTAATTTAAGATAATCATTATGCAGTAGCTATATAGTCCAAAGGAGATTGAGCCATATTGATGGACAGCACCTTCTTGTGATTAACAGATTCTGAAAGTGTCCATTTAGATTTAAATTGCTGTTAAGAATTGAGATATGGAAGGTAGATACTGTAATGCTTGGTGTAGAAAAAAAATTAAGTTGCTCTTTCCACTGACAAAATACAGAAAATTATTACTCTTTATGATGAAAACTTGGAATTACCGTTTGATTGTGATGATACAAACTTTTGCGGCAAACTATTCTGAACAAGAGTTGATAATTTTCAAAACTTAAATTTAAGAAGTAGTCCAAAGCCATGTTGATGGAAATTAAAACACCTTCTTAAATCTTCAGAATTAAAATGCATGGATGCAAGTTTGTTTAGTTAATATTTCAAAATGTCTAATCTGCTTGGGAGGGAAAAACCCAGAATATCTTGTCCCAGCTTAATAAAGGTCTCCCTAGAGTGGGCACTGATGCTTCTACAGTATTATTGAAATTTTTAGAAAAATATTGAAAGACGCATTGTAAAACTAGCCAGTCTTATTAATAATGTTTCCTATATGTGATAAGACTGAAATATATGCCCCACCTCTCCAACAATGCCTTTTACTACGAACATGAAACTAAACTTGTATCAATTTTGATGTTTCCAGTGTCGCCACACATGCAGTTGAAGCCCAACTGTGGGAGTGACAGAGCATGGGTCTGGAGCACGCCATGCGACTATTCAGACGAGGAGCCAAGACCAGAATTACTAGCCATAAGACTAGCGAATGCTGAAAGTATGACTTAGCTAATTATATGCTCATCTACAATTCATATCACTATTGTCTGTGACAAAGGGTGTTTTTTGTACCAAATAATTTATCAATTTCATTCATTTAGTCTATTCCTGAATAAGTTCTTAGAAACAGAAATATGAAAATTTTCAAAAACAGGAAATCCAAGAGAATCTGGGAACTTTCCAGTACAAAAGAGAATTCTATTGCCCAGGTAATTAATTTATCAATAAATGGTAAAAAAGTTTGCCTAGATTGGTCCCTGACTATCTTCAGCTGTCCGAATTTGAATTTGTGTTGTATAATGCATCTTTGTTCTTTGTAGATGCTCAGAAGTTTAAAGCCAGTTTTGAGGAAAGTCAAGCTATAAATGAAAAATTAGGGAAATCAAGTAAGTACTGATAGTTGTGTATTTCCAACCTAGAGCATTCATTGGAAATGTTTTGGATTTCATTATGTTGTTTGGTTAATTTTGTTTCGTCTGAAGTCTTGCATGTAATATTTTCCACTAAGATCTTTGCCACAAAACAATGAATTAATGTTATCCGTCTTGGAAAGATTAAATGGCTAAAGTGTGTAGGCTCCCTTTGATCAGTGACCCCAGCGCTATCCACCCTCCATCTTTGATAAGCTGTATGGTATTCAGGTGGTTAAGGCGTCCCGACATTCTGCTACCACTATCCCTCCACCGCTGGGTCGCGGCTTCGAGACCTACGTGGAGCAGACCTTGTACTGGCCGTAGGTCGGTGGTTTTTCTCGGGGGACTTACTCCACCACCAAAACCTGACGCATCCTTAAATGACCATAGCTGTTAATTGAGGTAAAACACAAACAAACCAAACCAAATTCAGGTGATGCCCTATTTAGCTTCAAGGACACCACTGTGGCCAGGTTTCATAGTCACAGGCTAACTTGTGTCGGCAGTTTAGCATCCCACATGCAACTATGGGCAGTTAAATGGCGACAACACATGGCCACTTTGCTCCATAAGCCTTGCATTCACACATGCATTAGGGAGATAATGCATATTTGGTGGACTAATGGATTCTTCCCCTACTTGAGGGCATGCCAGAAATCTCACCAGAAGGGCAATATTCTCCATTGCCAGAAATATGGATTACTTCAAGAGGAATCCTGGATCGGTAAAAGGGAGACAATCCTCTGAATGATGGATCGTTGGCCATGGGAGTCCAAAAACACTGCCGATAGGGGCTTGAACTTCGTTAAGTGGAATTAACAAGTTCTTAAAAAGTTTTCAAAAATATTAGTTTCCACAAAGGGTTGACATGTCACTTCGACATGAAAAGCCTTTGCCCATTGTAAGGGCCTTTTGAAACCTTCGACATTATCTGATGTTTACGTGTATTGATGATGGATGTTAAAATTGATATTTAGAAAATGCCCAAATGGAACGTACTTTGATGTTGTCTTGAAAGATGTAAATGGAGTTAGGAAATCATTAATAGAAGAAAAAAGAAATCATTAATAGAAGAAAAAGATGTCTCTGTATGATGAAAACTTGGAATTACCGTTTGATAACAATGAAAACAAACTTTGCGGCAAATATTTCTGACAGAGACCGAGACTTCACCATTAAGTAGATTGATCTTGAGTGATCTTTCGATTATGTTTGGGTTGCTTTTAAAGAAACTTTGATCCTTGAAAAACACGATTATTACTCGTGTACAATTTGTTGAACTGTTTTGTCTCTTTGTGACAATAAATTGGAATTTGAAAACGATCGTAACACAAATCAGAGCAAAATATGCGTTTGACTCTCTCCACTCGAATTTGGAAATCGATGATAACCAAACTAAGAAAGTAAAAAAACTCTAGAAATAGGGATGGCAGGGATAACAAATATCTGGCCAGAGTTCTTGACATTTTTTCTTTGGCTTAACCATCAGTTTCTAACTGAAAAACTGCTCAGCATGTTTCCACATGGGTAACTTGAGATAAGACTTGCACAGATTTATTTTTGCAGACTTGAGTTTTATGCTTCACATCAGCATGCATAAGCCCGACACCCACCACAGTACAATAATTTAAAATACAATCAAATGACAAGATATTGCAATTCTTTAAACCGAAAAGAATAATGTCTCTGTATGATGAAAACTTGGAATTACCGTTTGATAAATAATGATAACAAACTTTGCGGCAATTATTTCTGACAGAGACATGACTATTTAATTACAATTGTAGGATAATGTAGTGAAAAATATAATAAAGATTGATCAAATTTTTGTTTCCAAAACAAAAATCCACAAGATAAAGACTACTATTTGATATTAAAGTTTTCCAATAGCAGACAAGCAGGGAATTAAGCTGTTTGAATCGTAAATCTTGGGGTTCCAATCCAAACAAAACGTGGGAACATGTCTGGACAAGAACAAAAGTTTAAGAACTACTGGCCGTTGGGCAAGTTGGTCTTGAAAAATTACTTTCCAATCAGTTAAATTATCATATATAGTTATATTTAGAAAATTTGATAGAAAATAACTTCAGTAACTATTTTTAATTAGTTTGATATTAAGTATAAAATGAATAAAGTAACCATGAAGTTGATTATTTTAAACAGCTTCATCCGGCAAATCATAGCATATCTATCTGCAACCAAATTACTGTTTCCCTGCATTAATATATTTGAAGACGGGAAGCTACAGGTAACCCATTATTGAAAAAAGTCTATGTTTTACTGCTGGATTAATATGCGACATTAGGTGGTACACTCTCTTGTCTAATATTGGGTAGATAACTAGATGCTGATGTGATTAAATTCTTAACCATTCAAGTTTAGCCTATTTAACTCTTTCTTGCAACATTCTTTTCAAATACACTGTGGATAGCAGATATGTTAATCTTTTTTTTAAATTGATTTAGCTGACGCTGCACCCGAGAGTGACCAGAAAAAATCAAGTCCCAGTGCCAAGCCTGAAAGTAAAGACAGTGAGACTGATACAGTGGCTGAAAAACTTGGAGAATTGAGTGTGAAAACGGACAAAACATCAGAGGATAATACAAAACCGGAGTGTGATCAAAGTGAAACATGTAGTAACAGTGCGGACAAGCCAACAGAAACTGTGACTAATGAAAATACTGAAACAAAGACAGAATCCTAGCCGTACAGGAATTCAACTTGACAAAAGCTTCTGCTTTTGAATTTCGTCTGAGCTTCTCGTGATGTGAAGAGTTGGCATCTTGAAAGTTTTGGCATAAGAGGGTGCTCATGATTAACGCGCATCTTCTGTTTCCTGAAACATCATTTGGCAAAGGAAATGACCTGGCGGAGGAAGAATGTCCAGTAAACTCAATTTCTACATGTATAATTAAATTAAATGTTTCAAGTTTTCTTAACATTAATTTATTATAGTGCCATGAGTGTTTCTGTATTGTCAATGCATCAGAATCGTGTCTGTTACACAAATATGCCGGAGTGACGTTAAGAATTGAACCAAATGCTATAACAGTCCTTTCCAGGTTTTACATGAATACCTCAAATTTGAAGCACTTTTCTAGTCTGCAATTTTTATATTTAGATAAACCACAATCCTTTAGATATCGACTGGATATGTTGTAATGTAATTTGTAACCTTCAGATAATGCAATCATTATTTGATGCAATCTTTAAAGTGTTTTCATCAGTGATTGTAACTAGTGTCCTTTTACTGCACTCAAAAATTCAAAAAAAATGTCAGGAATCCAAATGCTTCATGTGTACCTGGCAAATGGAAAAAGTATAAAGTTGTGAGACTGGGATTGATAATTGAGAATGAAAGCTTTTTTGGCATGTGATTGCATGGATCATGTGAATGTTTAAGATCAGAGGAAAGACTTCCGTAGCCTATGATGGCACCGGTCATGTGAAATGATGAGAGCAGAAATACTGAGGGAATTCTCAATTATTTGAGTTATCCACTTTTTAATGAAGTCTTTCAAGCCATTGTTGAATCATTATAAAAAAAATGTGCATAGCTAATTTTAAGATGCTGTGTTTTCTGTTGTCAAAAGTTCATTTCTATTATAACATATTTGCCATGACAAGGGAGCTTGCTTTTATTGGAAATGTAAATGCTGATTTCCATCCTTCCTCCCCATTCTACTTTTTTCAAGATGTCAACCATTTGGTTCTCTTAGTAAGATGATGTCTACCGCCAAAATGGCTCTATAATTGGTACAGACTAGCGTTGGGAATCACTTGTAAATTCATACTTCATCATCCCTTCCAACAAGTGACTGATGATCGACTAATGATCGATTAAATTAAACTTAAATTCAGTGATTTAAGGTTATATTCCCTTCCAAATCTACATTCACTTTAGTTTCTGGGGAAGCCCGACGTTGGAGAATTTCGCTTATAATGCACAACATTCATACAAAAACAATACGTTTGTTGACGGAACATTATGATTATTGAAAAATTTGCATTTGGAAATGAAATTTCTGATTGGTTGTTGGGTGGAGCAGCTAGCCAATTGGCGTCGTCGTTGTGTGGGACTTAAGGTCAAGTTGTTTTGCCGAAGAACGAACAACTTGCTGTCGGTGGTAATTAACTATCTGAGTTTATTTTTTGTTGATACTGAAATTAGTGTAACCATTATCGATTGTTGAAAACAAGGATCAATTAATCGATTTTCAGAAACTCGCAACCAGACGTCGACTAAATCGATTAATCGGAACAACACTAGTACAGACGAATGAAAACAAAGCTACAATGAAACATATGCTTGCTCAGTGAACAGCACTCTTTCAAAATGCTTGATATATATATAACCTCTTAATTATGGGGAATTTAACTTGATAGATGACCTTCATGCCTCTACTTTAATGAGAAAATTATCAAAACACCAGTGTTGTTTAGAGGGAAAATTTATGGAAATATAAGTGCCCCTCTGATAATTTACCAATGTCCTGCTCCCTTGTTGGGTTAATAATTGAGATATGTATGGTTTTGGTGATGTCGATGTAATTTTCATATTGTGTGCAGCATTAAAAAAAGACTTGCTATTGTAAACAACTCGTTTTTGTTGACCTATTAAACAGTTGATGTGGCTTCTGCTGCTGATTATTGTAAAAACAGGTGTTGCTAGTTGGTTCTTGCCTCATTTAACGGGGCCATGTAATATTTTGCAATTTTTTATTTGGTGTAAATGTTTAACTCCAAAAGGTTGATTAAAGGCAGCTATTTGCACAAAATAAATCCAGCGTATTTTGAAGCCAGATAAGTAAGATACGGTGTCGTTGTAAGCATAACAAGAATTTGAAGCCAAATTGATAACAATCTGTAATTATTTACACAATATAGGAATGTGTTTGAAGCCAAATAGTTAAATTTTATACCATTTAATGTGGTGTAATTAACTGCATGTTGGCAGGCCTGGTGTATTGGAAGAGGATGGGATGGGAAACTTTGGCTATATTGGTTGTTTTAAAACGTGTTTGTTGTGGACACATGATTTCATTACAAGGAATATTCTACAAAGTTTAAAATGGAAGCTACAAGTGTTTCTGTTTGAAAAAAAAGACTTGTTTAGGTAAACATTTTGATAAATAGTAACCCGGTGTGTTAAAAGTAGATTGTTATATTGATTTTCTGTATTAAAGCACTATTCTCATCATTGAGAGTGATAAGTGAATATTTCTTAAATATGGCCAATCTTAAAAAAGTGTGATTGATGCAGGGACACTTGATTTAAGGAGGCTTATAGCAAAGACTTCAAGGTATTTGGAGCTTCTGACTGAAATATTTCTGTCATTATGTTGGATTATATAAACTGAACAAATACAAGGATCATAATTTTCTTTGAAGGACATATTTTTTGTTGCTGTAAGTTTAGGATAGTTTGTCAAAAAAGGGCATTTAGCCATACTGTGGTACATAATTTCCCACATGTGTATGTATAAATATTACTTTCAGTTTCTTGCTGTCGGAAATCTATTGCATTTTTCCACACGATATTATCAACAGAAAATACAAGCTTAATGTCAACTGTTTTCCACAAATATTCAAATGAATGAAAACAATATTATGGATAATGATTCCTTTCTTTTTTGTTTTTGAGTGTGTTTTATATTACAATCATTTGGTGTGAATACAATAAATTGTAATATATATGCAATGTAGTCATTGACGTCTTTGGTTTTTAATACTCAAGTGTCATACACTCGGATGTAGCCCAATAGAGATTGTATACCTAAATTCGTCCTTTTTTTTAATACAAAAACATGTACTGTCCTGTAGGCTTCAATAACTATACAAGAGTTGCTTACTTCGCAACCTGAAACACTAGTATGCTGTATATGGCACTGTTGTATTGATTGTATTTTTGTCCCTTTCTTCAGACTTCATGTTTAATATATCTTCAACAGAAATTGATGTTCTTGCATTCATTATACAATATATGTCACAATTATTTGGTTTATATAGACGTCGTTTATCAGTCCAGATTGTTGTCCTGGTGTCACGTCTTCATGTTAACATGTTCACTATGATGTCATTGTACCTATACCAGGCAAGTCCAAGAGTAATATTTCTAAAGGGAGGTAATAGCCCCCACTGGTTCTACAACAGGGTAATTAAGGTTTGCCCTTCACCAGTCTGCATCACTTTGTCGGAGGTATATCCTTTACTACGACACATATACCAGGTAATTGCCAAATGTTGTTGGATAGTACCCATTGGGATGGAGCAGTGTTTGCATATGTATACTGTTGGGGTGTTGTGCCCCACTATATACAGAGAGGTATGCATTCCTTTTAATCATGTGTCACATTATCTGCATGTATTATGCAAAGTTTAATATGGTTTCTTCTACAACATAATTAAGAAAAGGATGCTTTAATTTTTTAAGATTTTTCGTGAAAAGTGTAATTTGCACCTTTTTGATAGGCAAAGGTGATGTTTTAGCATTACAATCGCTGTAAAACACAAAATAAAATGGAAACGTATATCATGCCAGTCTTTCTTTTCTTTCCGTAATTCATAGATAATTTTCATAATTGTAAGGACTAGAAATATATTAAAATTAGCGAAATTTAACAAATTGGATTCAACCAAATCCATTTTGTAAGATTCCTTTAGAATCGCTAAAAAACATTGCACAATGTTAACAAAGTAAAAAAAAAATATCAGAATAGAATTGTATTGGAACTTAATGTTGCTCCATGATATACCACTTATCTAAATGATTATTGACTACTCAATAACATACAAACTCCAGTCAAAATTCTAATGGAACAATAAACAATTTTGTTAAACTTTGTTGTTTTTTGCAAACCTGGAAGATGAGGCAACAAAAATACTATTGAAACAGTTTTAAGGATCGCATGAGTCAGAGTTAAATTTTCAGCAACTTTTACGTGATTCAACACTTGAAGATCGGTCAATACCAATTTAAATATTTATATGATTGGAATTGTTTTATGTAACGGCCTAAATAAACATTTAAGGATTGAATGGCTATTATTTTATTTTATTTTTCAAGGCTTGTATGTAGAATAATATGTCATTAAAGGAAAATAAGTGAAGGAAAGAAATGTTTCATTTTTATATTGAATTTAAAAGAAGTACAACAGTTTTCTTATATTATTTAACTCACCGGGTCCGAAGGACAATTGCGTCCGTACGTCCATACTTTCTTCAAACGAATTCTTCTTGACCACTGATAGAATTTTTTATAAATTTGACTCTTGAGATCCCTAGGTGGTAGGGATTCAGAATGGTACAAATGGAGGAGCATGTCCAAAAAGTATTATTAGGGCGTATTGGTTTAAGCGACTTCTCTTGAACTAAGCAATGGATATCGACCATATTTGACTAGTAGCATCAGTAGGTGGTGGGGTTCAAAATTAAACAAATGGTGAGGCCAAAAGGGATAGTTCGGCTAAATTGCTTAAAACAACTTCTCTGGAACTAAGCGATGGATATCAACCATACTTGACTGGTAGCATCCCTAGGTGGTGGGGATTCAAAATTGTACCAATAGGGGAGGGCGAGGCAAAAAAGTGTATTTTGGCTGTATTGCTTTTAAGGAAAGCATCCCTAGCTGGTGGGGGACTAACAATTGTACAAATGGCAGGCTAAGGGGTAAGACCAAAAATAGTGCTGCTTGGAAATGGTAGAGATCCCCAGCCTATAACCATATATACAATTGCTGAGTATAAAGAGATGAATGCACATATGATTCCAGTCTGGCCGGATCGGATCCATCTTCGGAGACCTAGTCCCTGTGTCATAACTTTGAAATGATTAGATCAAGAGACGACCCAATCATTATATTAGCATTGACCCTTAGGTCTGGCTAAGGGTCACAACTTGGAAACGGTTGAGATCCCCACCCTATAACCATATATACAGTTGTTGAGTATAAAGAGACGAGAATCGCATATGCTTCCAGGATTGCCCTGGGGTTTGACCTTAGATCTTATTTGGAGCATGTTTTGCCATGATTGCTTAGATATCCAGGTGAGGGATACAGGCCCACTGGGCCACTTGTTTGTGTCCACATTACCTGTTAGTGTATGATTGGGGCAACTGATTTGTAGTATGATCCATCAATTCCTTTATAGAATACAAACTACATGTATATAGTAATACGCATTGTCTTTTGTTTTGAGGATACACCTAACCATTGATAACTGGGCAGTGGCTTTAAAGCAGGTTATATTATATAATTCAGGCTTAGAAGTAATTTGATCTTGATGAATTGGTAGAAGTTGAAATAGTTTTACGATAAAAAATGCATTTGTTGGTAATCACAGCAAATAATCGATGACTATGCGTGAATCTATGTCTGTATTCTTATCAGCTATGTTTAGTCAAACAGAAATTAGAATTGTTTGAATTTTACGTTTAATTAACAGAATGCTAAAAATTATAGCTAATACTGAAAGTTTATTTCGTGCTACAGATGAGTCGTATAAACAAACCAATATTAGTTTGAAAAGCATACATAGGAGGAACGGATTGGTCCACTGGAGGAGGACTCTGAACTTGCGTCAGAGCATCAGAGGCATCACCCAAGGCTGGCCAGTCGTCTCCAACAGAACAATGTTTATGGGCACTTCCAGATAACACCCTGCCAATAAAACCGCCAGTTATATCCTTCCAACACCGGTCCTTTACTACGGAAGTACAGGGTTGTGGTTATTACAGAAAGTACCGTACACTTGTATTACCTTTTGGCAAATTAACGTTCCACTTTTCCAATGAGCAATGCCAATCCTGTGTACAAGTTAGTAAGATATTTTCTATGAATTTAATAAGATAACTTTCAATCGATTGTAAGAGAACGCCTTATTTTTAAGTACTTGTGGATAACTATATTTTAGCAAAACATCAACCTGATCCCTACAGCTACATGTACTTACATTTCAAGTAAACTTGATGACGAACGGCCTTTGATACGTTGTCTCACAACTTCATACACAATATTTCAAGGATATACTTTTTTGGCAGGTCGTCAACAGAAGACTACTGTATGAAGAGAAGATTCTGAGACGGGACATGCACGTTTCTTCCGGTATACCACAAGGACCAGTTTGGACCCCCTTCTCAACAGAGTGGTTCAGATAAGTATCTCTTATCTTCATAGGAATCACAACAAGGTGAGGAAGATTCGAAAATCCTTCAACAAAAGATCTTGAAATTAAATATATGTAAATTGAAGGTCCGACCTGAACGACCATGAAGCGCGTTATCCACTGCACCAAAGAGGACGAGCGTTAATGTACAACCATATCCATTATACCGTTCTCATGCTCAAGTATGGATTCTGTGCTCAAACCAGTTTTCTTGTAACTCGCTTAATTAAGTAAATTAAATCATGTCACACGATCAAAAAGTCAGTTACATAAATATTAAAAACAGCATTCAGCTGGTAGTCTCTTCGCACTTTCCCAAATCATTGCCAAAATAAGATTTTTTAAAATAATTTTCAAACGGAACAAGAAATTAGGCTAGAGCATAAAATCCATGCTCGAGCATGAGAACGGTTTCATGAATACGGACCCAGGTCATCGTGAACTATTGAATTGATCTTGAGATTATTTACTTGTAGATAAAAAGAAGCATGTTTACAACAGTTCTAACACATTTATATGAAACTGGGGTTATATAATATGTACCTATACAGTTGGTGAAATACTGCGAATCCATTGACATCATCAGCCGGGTCCATCAGTCTCTAGACGTTTCAACCCTTGTCCCGGAACGTCCTCGTGATGGTGGGTCGACAGTGGCGATCAACTCACTGCCCGTCAATGGATGGCTTCCAGTCTTTCTCCTCCCGTCTGTTCCACAACCAGCATGATGCGCGCTCGGCAGCCTCTGCTAGCCTGCGCACCGCCGTCTTGCGTGTCTTTCCAACTAATCCCACAGCCTGCAATGTCTTCCAGGCTGAGCGTGCCGGGAACCCTCTGCATCCGACCTCCACAGGAAACAGCCAAGTACGCCACCCTCGCTCCCTACATTGTTCCATGAGCTCCGTATACTTGGCTCTCTTTCTCTCATTGGCCTGGTCGCACCGCTCCTCCCAGGGCACAGTCAGCTCGATGACTATAATCTGCCTGGATTCGGCAGACCATATCACCACATCTGGACGTAGCGTTGTCTGTACGACGTCCGGAAACACCAATTTCTTCCCCAGGTCAACTCTCATCTCCCATGTCTCTGCCCCTTCCAGAATGCCAGTGTTGCCTGATGTTGCTTTCGTCTCCTTCTCCCCTGCTTTTACAAACCGGATGAAGGATGGTTTGTGCTTACGAGGTGGTCTCTTCTTCTTCCTTTCCACCTCGAGAACATCTGTCAATTCCCGAAGCACCTGGTCATGTCTCCACCGGTATCGTCCCTGTGTTAGCGCTGTCTTGCATGCCGAAAGGATATGGCCCATGGTCCCACGTTCTTGACATAGCTGACACTTTGGCTCTTCGACTAGTCCCCACAGATGAAGGTTCGCTGGCGATGGTAAAGTGTTATATACTGACCGCAACAGGAACTGGATCCTCAATGGTTCATAGCGCCACAGGTCTGTCCATGTAAGTTTTCGCTCCGGCAGCTTCCATTTCGTCCATGCTCCTTGAGAGCCCATTTCCACTGCCCTTGCTTTCCTGGTCCCTTCTTCTTCTCTGCGGATTTCTCCCTGTACCAGAGATCTTTTCTCCTTATCATCTGATCCTTCCCACGTCTGAAAATGGGTTGTCCCCAACCCTTGCCGGCCTGAGCAGGTTGCTCCGACGATGTCCCGGTGCTTGAGAGCGCCCTCGGCCTGCTCCACAGACTGGCTTGCAGACCATTTCCTTCCTGTCCTAGTCTGGATTCCTGCATTTCTTATCTTCACGTCCTTTGAATCTCGCAGCGTCATCACTAGTCTGGCCTTTGTTACCTTGAACTCCTCCACCAACGATGACAGTGGGAGTTGCAGTGATGATGTCCGGCTGTAGAGCCCAATGCTGGAGAAACTGGGCGGGACTCCAAGCCACCTCCGCAGGTAGCTGCTGATGGATCTTTCCAGTCCTTCCACTGTTGTCAAAGGGACCTCATATAGCATCAGGGGCCACATGAGTCTCGGCAGCAGTCCATGTTGGAAGATCCATGCCTTGAACTTTCCTGGCAGGCCTGACTTGTCAATCTTCCTCATCCACTCAATTGCCTGCTTCTGCATGCTGCTGATGTTGCTGGTATCTTTCAGTGATGCATCAAACCACTTTCCTAGGCACTTGATTGGGTTGTCCGCAATTGATGGGATCTCTTCTCCTTGTACTTTCAGCTTGAACTGTTGTGTCAGTCGTCCCTTCCTCATTATCATGCACCTTGATTTTCTTGCCTTGAATTTCATCCTCGCCCATGAGACTACCTCCTCCAATGCAGACAGAACCCATCTTGCTTGGACATGTGTGGTGGTAGTCACAGTCAGGTCATCCATAAAACCTCGATTCGATGGTTGGTAGATTCCTG